GCGGGGCTCAGCGTCTCTCGTTTGAATTTAATTAAAATGTGGTGGATGTTTGGCAGCTTTAGACAGTTATTTTTATTTTTAAATGAAAAGTTTTGGGTAAAAAAAACATAAAAGTTTTACTTCAAATGGGGAAATTGGATGCACTGTAATGGATGCTTATGTCCAGCAGGTGGCAGTCTAACACCCCAGCAAACACTAACTACTACCACATAGCTATTCATAGTCAATAAAATAAAGTAAATGATTTATTTCTGTTTTTTATTTTTATTTTTCACAATAAAATGTCAAATTTTGCTGAATCATCATAGAAAAACGGTGGTGAGGTTGATTTGAGGTTTCCCAGGAGACTGCGCTCTTTAATCAGGTATGTTCAGATGTTTTAAATGATAATGATAAATGACCTGCACTTGTATAGCGCCTCTCAGAGTAAGGACTCCAAAGCGCTTTACACTACAGTATCATTCATCCATTCACACACTGATGGGGATGAGCTACGATGTAGCCACTGCTGCCCTGGGGCGCACTGACAGAGGCGATGTTTTAGGCTTAAATAGTAAGATTCTGACCAAGGGTGCTTGTCCAATGGGGAATTATCAGACTATAAAGGGCCCTCATTTAAATAAACTTCGAGAGTGATTTTCAAACCCTGTGAAAACAGATCTTGTCTGCTTAGAAGACACGGCTCCTCTTAAAGATTGCCATGAACAGATCAGGATGATAGAGAAGCCACGTCTATGACATCAGTTCAGAGCTCCAGTGTTTTGTGGTCTGAAAGGGATTTTCCACCCAGAACAGAAATGTTATCTGTTGACGTATTTCCCAGAGTTAGATAAGTGGGTAAAACAATTTTTAACCAGCCCAGTCGTTCTCCTGACCCGGCTGTACTCCTTTAGCTTAGCATAAAACACAGTAAGTGAATGGATCCAGGTAGCATTGTGAGTAAACACGTACTTAAAATCACTCTGTAGTGATCCCAGTTCTGTTTGGTGACAATCAGACTGACTGTAAGTGAAAATTAGTAAAATAAAGGAATCACAGACGCCATTTTAGACTTGGGACTACTTTATGACAACGCACATTTTTATCTAACTGGAGAAAAAAGTCAACAGACAAAGTTTAAGTTTTAGGTGGAACATCCCTTTAAAGATCAAGTCACCCCCTACTAGAGTCTTACTCCACTCCCACCATGCTGTTGCCTGGCAGACTGAGAGGGCGGAGCCGCTAACAAATACACACACAGACTCACAATGACATTGTGACATCATATGGTACCAGCTAATGTCATAGGGTACATCTTAATTTTAACTAAGATGCACTAAAGTGCCAAAATATTGACTACACATGTCTACATGGGTGACGATGGCACAGGAGTTAAGAGCTCGCCCCGTAATCGGAAGGTTGCGAATTTGAGCCCCGCTCAGTCTGTCGTGTTCTTGGGCAAGACACTTAACCCACGTTGCCTGCTGGTGGTGGTCGGAGGGACCGGTGGCGCCAGTGCTCGGCAGCCTTGCCTCTGTCAGTGCGCCCCAGGGCAGCTGTGGCTACATCGTAGCTCATTCCCACCAGTGTGTGAATGACTAGTTGTGTTGTAAAGCGCCTTGGGGGGTTCCAGGGCTCTAGAAGGTGCTATGTCAAATACAGGCCATTTACCATTTTACCATTTACAGCACGATTAGACACTCATTTGTATAGTTTATCAGCAAAAAAATAAAAATAAATGATTGGGGGTGACTTGCTCTAACTATCAAAAGTTTTAGATTACACTAAAAAAATTTACATTCACTCCAACAAAAAGAAAAATGGGTTGTAGACCTTAGAGCAACTGAGGGCTTGCTTTTAGAGCAAACTTAAACTTGGGGAGGTCCCTAGAAACATTGGGGATAATGTCCTAATCAGACGTTTTCTGATCTTGGAACATAGACTGCTCATATTGTAAACATTTTAAATCAGGAACTGGGAACAGTTAACAAGACTTGTTTTAATGTGAGCAATCAGCTAGAATACCAACTGAGAAAATGGGTACTGTACCTTATAAAGTCACAACTTGCTGCATCACATCATCATTCAACTGCCTTTTTAGGTAGTGACTACAGGCCTATTAGCAACAACAATGTGGCCTTTGTAATATGCCACCTTACCCTGAGATCTAGCATGTTTTTTTGTTTGGTTTTTTTTTTTTGGCCATAGTTATTCAGCTTGTCCTCCTTGCTGAAGTCCCGGATGCAGCAGGCGTCTCGCTCTCGGAAGACCTGGGTTCTTCGTTGCCTTCCAGACTGCACTCCGGTGCATCTTCCCCACGAACAGAAAGATGACCTGCTGACTCTTTCCTTTTTCTTTCTTGTCCCAAACAGAATATGGAATTAATCGCAATACAAATGTTGTCAGTCCACTCTAGAAAAATCTTTAGCCGAAGCTCTTCGGGGATCTCTCTGTTTTCTCCTTCCTGTTCTTTGAGCCCGGAAAGTTGCAGGTTCCAGTGGCGTTTATAACCCTCAGCATCAAGCACTGTTTCCTTCAGCATAACATTTTCATTGTTCAGGTCTGCGTGTTCTTTTTCCAAAATGTCTATTTTGAATTTGCATTCCACAATTTACACCTAATTATTTTCCACATGTTGCACAGGGCCTGTGAACAAGTCAGAGTTCTCTTTTGATTGTTTTCCCGAGCCAACTTTGTCCTCCAAGCTACGACTGGCTGCCCAGACAACAGCTAAATAGAGTTTGAGTTTTGTTTCGGTTGCCTTTAGCGGGTGGTGGTTTTGTCGGGGTAGTGTTTAGTGGTCTTCTGGAGCCTGGGGTGTTAACATTAGCATTGCTTTGATTGGAAAAATCCAGCGAATTAGCAACTTCTACATTGCCGCTGATGTTAGCGACGCTAACACTAGCTTTCCCAGTTTAACGACAGGATCTGCATTTGTGGAGTAGCTATAGAAGGCTAGCATGTTTCCTGCCTTACTGTTAGCTGCTCTGACTGGCGGCAATCGATTTGTTTACTTTGTTTTAGCAAGTTGAAAGGGTGACAACAAGGAAGTTACAGGCGTCTGTTTGGACAGATGCAGCTAAACTTTGGGATGGATCAAGCGAAGCTTAAAAAGTTGCTTGTGCCCGTATTGCCATCTTGCCAGACCTCCTAAGATTCTACTGAAGAACTCCTGTAACTTTAGAAGTCCAGTTTCTTCTCCTACTTCTAGTCCTCCTCCTTCTCCTGCTTATTATTAATATTGCCTAGAGGGCAAAAATAAATATTAAGATTTTTTTAAGTGTCATGATAATTAGGCTAAATATTTTCTATAAAATGGCTAAAATTTTTATAAAATTGTAGTATCGGCTTTCAGACAGTAGAGGGCAGGTTTTCCCCATCTTCCTTTTATTTGTAAATGCTGTTGGAAACCAAGAGTGACGTTTTATTTTGTGCCAGCAGAGGGCGCAGATGCCCTGATCTTTCAAGGCAAAAAACCGAAGAATTTAGAGGAAGTGTTTCTACTAAGTAACTTTATAAATCCAGTTCCTTCTTCTCTTTCTAGCCCTCCTCCCTCACATTATTAATTTTTCCAAGAGGTCAAAAATAAAGATTAAGATTTTTTAAAGCGTCATTAAAATAAAGTGGCTAAATAGATAAATGGCTAAAATGAAAGAATGTGTAGTGCCAGCCTTCAGACACTGGAGGGCAGCAACTCCTCATCTTCACTTCTTTTCTAGACAAAGAGCAAACATAAGTTATTATCCACTCCTCCTTTTATGTTCTACAGAAGTTATTTTTGATGAATGAATGAATGAATTCATGTTTCATTTTCAGTTTAACTACTGAGTTGTTCAACAGCTGGACTCTAGAGCCATAACTCCTTCAGTCAAGCTGGCTGACCTCTGACCCTTCTGGTGGTGACCTTTATAATCTAGTACTTCTGTGACTAAAACATGTTTTACTCCTCTTCTAAAGCAGTTTGAAGCACACTACTCTGGTGTTATTTGTTCCATACATGAGGACCTGCTGAAAATGATTCAAAGGCTCGGAGACAGCAGAAACAATCTGGCTGCAAGATGTTTGTGGGCCCGACATCAGCTGATGGACATTGTGCACGCTCTCTTTGTGTTGTTCTCACAGTTACAAGAGGATGTGTGACATCTGGAAGCAGTCAGGAGGCGGTGCTGAGGCTTCCCCCCTTCTGTTGGCTCTCAGGACGCAGATATCAAAGCAGGCTGTAGATAATCATGTCCTCTTGACGTCTTTAGAGCAGTGAGACAAAGCTGAGGTAGAAGTGTGAATGGAGTAATATATATGGAGTATATATATATATATATATAGTGGGGCAAAAAAGTATTACATCAGCCACCGATTGTGCAAGTTCTCCCACTTAAAATGATGACAGAGGTCAGTAATTTACATCATAGGTACACTTAAACTGTGAGAGACAGAATGTGAAAAAATACATGAATTCACATGGCAGGATTTTTAAAGAATTTATTTGTAAATCAGGGTGGAAAATAAGTATTTGGTAACTTCAAACAAGGAAAATCTCTGGCTCTCACAGACCTGTAACGTCTTCTTTATATATATATATATATATATATACATATATACATGTCTCTCTCTCTGTATACATATATATATATATATATATATATATATATATATATATATATATATATATATATATATGTATATATATATATATATATATATATATATATATATATATACATATATATATGTATATATATATATATATATATATGTATATATATATATATATATATATATGTATATATATATATATATATATATATATATATATATATGTATATATATATATATATACATATATATATATATATATATATATATATATATATATATATATATATATATATATATATATATATATATATATATATATATATATATATATATATATATATAGGAGATGTGTGAAAGGCAGATATTGGGGAAGATGACCTCCATCTTCCCACCCACTTCATCCCACTCTGGAGACCATGGACAGC